ATCACTAATAAATATAATCACTTGACAAATACCAGACATTGTTGTAAATATTTATTGCTGTTGACAGAATTTTCAGCGCATGAATATCTAGTGAACAAGTGAACTCGGTGGCACTTCAGTGTCAACCTGACATGGTTTATTCCATGATAATTACCCCCCTGAAAATATGTTATCCCTTACTTAGCTTACAGATAACTAGCTAGTTAACGTTAATGTATTGTTGAACCTCGAACCCTTGAGCACGACCCTTACCCTCGATTTCTCCAGGGAAACTGACTCTGTTCTCTGATCCTTGTTTGTATTTATGTTGCTTTGGACAGAAGTGTCTCCTGAATGAGTATAAAATTATACCAAAAGTGTCCTTTCATAAAATTCCCATAGAAACAGCAAAAAGCAACACAAATGCCTGTGAATCAGATTTAAAGCAAGGTGGATATATAAAGTATCTGAAAGCTTTTACTATGCTTATTGAACCATATTAAGTATTGATGCCTAATACGTAGGCCAATGGAAATCTTGCAGCAACCATTAATCGAATAAATATACTTCTTGAAATAGACATGAAAGCTGTGCTGTCATAACCTAAATTTGTTGGTGTCCTAGACAAGTGTTCACCTGGAGGCATGAAATATTTGTATCAATATACAGCCAGGGAACAAAATTAAGAGACCACTCTTTTAAAATAAATCTGTATTTTTAAATCCTGGTTTAATCCTGGTTCTGCTGGCAGAAGGCTAAACTGTACAGCAGACTGATTCCAGGCTCAAAGTTTCGAAGACAGCAGTACAGAAAAAGGTGAAGCAAGAGACAAAGGGAATAACCAAAAACAAGGCAGGCAGAAGGCGGAAGCAACTTTCTAATGCCAGAGATGACCGTCAACTAATCCAAGAGTTTCTCATGAATCGGAGGATGAAATCAAGTGACCTTCAAAAGGAATAGGAAACATTAAGTGCAGGTGTGAAGTGGATAACCGGCTCCTAGAAGCAGGACAAAAGTCTCAAAAGCAAGGAAGAAGCCCTTCATTAATGAGAAACAGAGAAGAACCAGGCTGCAGTTTGCAATAAAAGGTATATTATTCACAGATGCACACCCATAAATTGAGAAATGAGTGAAACAAAAAATTGTGCTGTGGTCTCTTAATTTTTTTCCATGGCTGCATATGCATGCATTATGGGAATGACCCAAAGTCACGCCCCTGTGGAGGAATGTTCTAGATTATATGAGTAAATGACTGGAAAGTGAATAGCCTAGATCACCAGGACTCTCTCTCCTTGGAGACAAAGCTGTTGTGCCATACTTGAGTAAAAATGTGTTTAGAATATGTGGGGTCTCAAAATCTGACGTCAGAAAGTGTGACCTCCCTGCTGAAACTGATTGGTACACCCCAGTTATGAAATCTCTACATGATTATTATTTCTATTCATGATAAGTCACCTGAAGTTAAATGATAAATGTGAAATAATTACGGTAGGTGAAATGCGCATAGGGCTCGTGCACGTGAACAGGAATCTCGCGTTAATTCCCAATAATGTGAACGAGTGCCCCTGGAGCCACAGATGATGATGGTAACAAAACGTGCTGCAGGTGTTGTGTTCTAAACTGCCCTCCTGCCACGGATTGACTCCCCTGACGCGGCAGAAGGGACTGCTTGCCTTAAGCAGACTGAAGAACTCACATTTCTTGTTTATTATGGTATCTTGCAATCACACCTTATGCTAAGATTAATATCCTCCTGTAAAACAAATGTGACAGTTACTACTTTTTCATTCAGATGAGACGTACAGTGATGCTATTCTTTTCGACAGCGCTTGTTTGTGCAAATATAGTCGCCTTCAGTGACAAGAAGCGATTCATGTACTTGAATAATGTACCTTTAAATTTACCTGGCTGCTATGAGAACTTAATTTCCCTCCGGGGACTAATATAGTTGTCTCTGTCTGTCTGTCTGTCTAATATGTTTGACAGTCATCCTACTGCAATAGTTTTCTTTTTCTGTCTTACATAATGCAGCGATTAGCGTCATACTCGGCACCGTCACACCTGGAAATGATACAACATGGAACCAAACACCAAAACCAATCAGAAGTCAGCACATTTCCACCGTTTTCTGTAGCAGTGACGTCAGGGGAGGCAATCCGTGGCAGGGGGCAGTTTGGGTCACAACAATTTACAGGCGTCGGGCAAGTCGCCACCTAGATAACGTTACATACCTTGGCATGAATCTCAGGGTGGCGCGCATCTAGATGCCTCTTCAGGTTTGTGGTGTTCCTTCCTGTGTGCTTCATTCCACACGGCTTACACTGGGTTCTATTTTTGTCACCAGATTGTCTGTGTGTGTGAGTGTGCCCTACAATGGTTGTTCCCTGCCTTGTGCCTATAAGCTCTGGACCCTCCCTGACCTTAAATAGGACAAGCGGTTTCAGAAAATGGATGGATGGAAATAATACAATAATAATACCAATGCTAATAATTTAATAATAAAAACCATCGTTGTGTTTACTTGTACCATAGATCTGTTTGCTTGAGATATTTCTCAGAAGCAAATCCTGCCGACGTGATTCTGGGGCAAAAAAAGTGGTCAGACATACAGACTAACTTTATTTACAACGCTGATGAAAATAAGTCCCAGTGTACGTCATGTGGAGTGAAGCACACAGGAAAGAACACCACAAACCTGAAGAGGCATCTAGATGCGCGTCCACCCTGAGATTCATGCCAAGGTATGTAACATTATCTAGGTGGCGACTTGCCTGGTGCCAATACCGGTACATATGGCTCTCATTCACACTGCTAATACTAATGTGTCAAATGTGTTGGGTTATTTTAGGTGTGTTGATGTCACAAGAACCGATACCTCGATAGTAAGGTCGGTACTGCACTCTTATAGGAATAACTTAACTTAAAATGTGAGTAAAGAATACAGTGCTGATGATACAGCACCACAACAACACAGGTCGAGAAGAAAGTCATGCCTGGCTTTGCTGTGTTAGGGAATTGCAGCATGCGATTGTGGGAAACGTGCTTATTGATGAAAAAGAAGCCAAAACACAGACACACACAGGATTTTGTTATTTCCACTTTTTTCCCTTTACGAGTTACTAAGAAATAGATTATTTTAAAAATATATATATAATTAAAATTTTTATTACATGTTTAACAGGAATAAACCAGTCGCACAGCAGATAAACAGACATACAAATAAAGAAGCAGGCAGGCATTGAGGACATTGATAAGTATGATATAAGAAAGGCAGCTGTTTAATCACAGTAAAAGGCTGGTCACTATTTTAAATCTGCTGTTATCTTTAGCGCATCTATATTTTCTATTGTATAAAAAAAAAAGGCACAATTTTGTTCACTTGAATAACGGAAGTATTTTTAATTACAAGCCACTGAAGGAGATTTCTGTTTTTGCCATGGTATGGAATAGGTATTGAGTCTCAAAATGTCAATGATATTTCTATTAAATACAAACATTCTGGTATTGTGACATCCCTAGCTGCTAGTACGTTAGACAGGGAGATATCAATCCGAATTGTCAAATAATATAGTTGTTGCTCTTATTTAGTTTGCCTCCCCAGCTAACAAAGGCATCTACAGACAAAACACCACTGAGTGCAGTCCAACAGAAGGAATCACAATAAAATATCACAAAGGCACTCTTCGGTGGTTTGAAGTACAAAAATGACTCAAAAGAGCAGCAGAAAAAGGAGGCGGCTAAAACCAGATGGGCTGGAAGCCCAGGTCGTCCAGTCAGAACTGTAGAGGACGGAGGTTTTGTTCAGATGATGGAGATAATGGATAAGAACTTACTTAATGGATAAGAATTCACTGTTCCTAAGAAAACAAAAATAAACAACCTATATGACAAACAGTATGAAGAAGAAAAAGAAATTCAGAAGCCGACTAAGTGCAGCTCAGAAGATCTTGATATCTTGACAAAAAATGGCTGTCAGCAAGATTTCTGGCTTTCTAGCATGTTATTCTGGCGTATGCATGTTATTTCTGTGTTGAAAAGAATGAAGCTGAACATATTCTATTGGCTCTTGAAGAAATTGCACACCCACACAGAGCAGAGTCTATAAAAAATGTGTTGATGAATGCATGCATGCACAAGTGGCATATACCAAATACTCCATAACTGATAATGGAAGCAACACGCCATGGTTAAGCAGGAAGTAGAAGAAAGGAGTCAGGTACCAATTAATGACCAGAAGTACAACTATTTTTGCTAAAAGTTCTATGTTATATATATATATATATAATTAATAAAGTATGAGTTCTGAAAGTGTGTAGTTTGTCTTAAAGTGAAATAAACTAAAAATTATACATTATACTAGTAATAGTAACACCAAAATACTCCAGATTGACACCATATCTGTGTCCCTTGCTGTCATTGCCCTCCTTGGTCAGCCACCTAGATGAATTTGCGCAGACAAGAAGCTACAGAGCTCTAGCAACCCTTGTCCAAAAGATGAAAATCAATATGAAATCAGTGCTTTGGCTGCTTTTTGGATACAAACAAGGACAACTTCTGTCTCCTTCCGGCAGCTGCCTGATTTCTCCAGCCCACTGTCTGTGGAGTTTGAGGATGAGAAAAGTCAAGAGCTGCTGAAAGAAGTAGAGGAATATGTGACAAAGCATATCCTGCCAGATTCAGACACACAGATGGGTGATCCGTTCAGCAGTGTTGCACATGAGAGTACAGCCAAAGAAACTGAAGCAGTAACATCAATGCAAACACAATTTTGGTTTCTAAGCACACAGAAAACATTCAAGACAGGGGGCACCAACAAATGTCAAACAGCAAATTGAGAAGTACAAGGAGGAGCTATCACAACCTATGAGCACAGACTCTTGGCTTGCACAAAGTTACACTGTGTACCATACTCTGTGTACCATACACTGAAAACTTTTGCTCTAGATCTAGGCCAGCTTCCCAGGATCTCCCAGAAAGTATCTTTAGGGTCACAGGCAACTTCACTTACGGTGAGTGCAACATAACAAAGGTCATATTGGAACAGAAGTGCTTTCCTTAAAATGAACAAAAACTCGTACAACTGTTGTGCTCCCACTGCCATAGTTTTTGAAAGAGAAAACACATTTACTGCAATAGCATTTTGCTGTATGAAAGATGCATTTTTTTGCATTAAAAATGGTTAGACCATATTTGCTGGAAGGTTTTGGTTTTTTTTGTTGAAAGATTTTGTCTTTTTCTCTGATAAATACTAAATGTGTGCTGCTCGGTCCAGCCTTTTCTAGTAAAATCGTATTGCAGCAGAACTAAGGCATGTTGAAGCTGCCATTACCTGACGAAGATCTTTTGGAGTAAATCCTTTCTTCACCTACTCTTCATTTCATATTCAGTAATCACTGCATGTGGTTTGACTCAGTGTACATGTTAGTGTAATAGTTTAGAGGTACAGTATATTCTGTGCATATTCATATGTTGAACAAGAGAACTGATTTTGACTGTTTGACTAATTTACTTTTAGCCGACTAAAATCAATTTACTTTTTCTCAACTAAAATAATTTTTGCTCGACTAAAATTAAAACTAACAATAATTAAATTAGTAGCAAGTGACTAAAACTTAAATGCAATTTAGTCAGAAGACAGACTAAATCAAAATGTATTGTCAAAATTAACACTGCGGTGCACATCTGTAATGATGATATACGTCAGTCAAAGCTTCAACCTAAGACTTAAGTGTCAAATTACTCCTGTGAAAGGTTTGTTATCTATGAACCACGCTGACTTAAGACTTGGGATAAAAAGAATTGCCTACCTTTCAGGTTTTGTTTTCCTAGGGATTTTTTATCGTTTTGTCTGGTGCTCATTGATTTGGCTGAAAACTCGTTAAGCAGTAATGTATGTATGTATGTATGTATGTATGTATCTGCACCTGTCCGTCTGCTGCACTTGCATATGCTGTGTATAAACGTCATCACCGTAGTAAGGATCTCACACAGGGTGATGAACTAACCTTAAATTCATCCATTTAAATTCCACTCTAGATCTGCAGCTGTCCTACAGATTATTAGAGTCCCCGTCAGCTTGGGAAACACGGGCCTTCATTTTAATCATTCATTAGCCAAATCATTCAATTAAACCTAGTTTACTTGAATGACGTGATAGTAGCAAGAGAGGTAGGTTTAGGAATATTAAGCAACGGTTTAATATATTATGCGTTTATTACACTTTTGTTAATAAGCACACGTCCTTGGTGAAGGAGCGTGGCTGCGTCTTTAAGGAACAGTTATCGCAAATTACAGAGGGAGGGGTTAGGATTTCTAAAGCAAAGCGTCCTCCTTCAAACGCATCTTTAGGTCGTCCAAAGCAGAGAGGTAAGTGACTATTTATTGTTCACTCTCATATGTACCTTGTGTAATTTGGCAAGACTTAATTATCCTTTGAAACCTGCTCCGTCAAAGTGTAATTAAATAAATAGCCTTTTGTAATCTTGATGATGCAGCGGGATCAATTTTGCCGCGGTAATCTACCGCGGTTAAGTTAGCCTCATATTCCATATTCAGTTTTCTAGCTTTAATAACTTATCACGGAAGTAAGGTGGGACGTTATTAATCACAGAATCGTGTTGTCCAGTACGCAGGCTACGATGCACACCGATTATTTTTGCGCTTCAAACCATTTCGTGATTTGTACAAAATCGTGTTAATAGCTAATAAAGTAGGTGCTGTCAGCTGTAATGACATGGTGCTTTAGCATTTTGGGCTCATGGCGACTGATGCACACCCCTTTGTTTCCCAGATTGCTTTACGTACGATTTTTAATTAATTTTTGAATGTTCGAACGTATCCGTGTAATGCGAAATGGGACAATGCATGAATGGGTTAATAACTTTAAAACTAGACAAGACAGGCACTTCTAGTGAAGTGTGCTTTGATCAGTGGACTACAGGGAACAATGCACACCCCTTGGATTTTCAGAAAAACTTTCGCTCTAACAGTTATTAATTAATACATTGTATGCATATTACATGGCATAGGGGCAGTGCACTAAAGGGTTAATAGCTCTGAAAAAAAATGACACAGCCACATTCTACCAAGTGTGCATGGATCAGGGGAACCTGGGGGACAATGCACACCCCTTAGATTTTCAGAATAACTTTCACTCTAATAGTTATTAATTGATACATTGTATCCATATTACATGGCATAGGTCCATTTCATACATATTGATTGATAACATACATTAATCTATAAATAACTTGTGTAGTGTTATTTAGGCAGTGCACCGTGGTACAAAGCAAATGTACCCTGCAGCTGAATTGCGTCATTACGCATCTCGTCATATTTTATACATTAGCATTAAACATTTATTCATTGACGAAAAAAAAAACAATAATTAAGCAGGGTTGTAGACCATTGTTTTAGATATTGCTGATTCATGGCATGTTTCATAGTTACATTTTTGCAGTATTAGACCTAGTAGTTGTATACAATAACAGGGGAGTTAATGATATGTGACTATTTTCATACTGGGAGATTTTTAATCAGTGTGCGAAATACCCGTCAGTATTTGGG